ATGCAAGAGGAATGAATTAAATGAATCTGGCAAAGACAGTAACTTTAACAGAGTGACAACAAAAAGCAGTAAGAGACTTCTTTCTGAATGTACAGGACACAGGAATGAAGGTAGAAAACTGGCAGAGCTAACAGTGAAGAAGTTATTGCTGTTGCTGTTCAATTATGTCCAACTCTTTGTGACCCCCTTTGGGATTTTCTTGGCAAAGACACTGGAGTGATCGGCCATTTCCTTCTCCAGATCATTTGACAGATGAGGAAACTGAGGCAAACAGAGTGAAGTGACTTGCCCAGGGTCACTCAGCTAGTAAGTGTTTCAAGTCAGATTTGAACTGAAGAAAATGAGAATTCCCAACTTCAGCACATCACTTTATCCACTGTGCCACCCTACCAGCCCAGCAGTGAAGAGGAAAACTGAGGAATTATGGATAGAACCAAATAACACTCTTCAGGTGAATCTTTTTTTTTTGGTGGGACTATGTTACTACATGAAATAGGAGGAGGGGAGCAGGGGATAGAGAGGAGTGTGTGATAAGCCAGTGTCAAATCAAGGGCTAGCAATGAAGGCAAAGTGACCTCTATGATCTCAGAAAGAGAAGAGCCTACAAGGGAGTGGGTAAGAGGCCTTACTCTTGAGGTAAGAGGAAGTTCTACTAAGGAATGCTTCTATGAGTGAACAGAGATGGTCTATGAAGGGAGATGAGGACCTTATCCTGGGGGATTTAGTACTTGAAAAGTACTTCCAAAATGGGGGTGGGGGTCAGGGAGGAGATTGGAACTCCTGGGGCCAACCACCACCTCGGGGAGTAGGAGGACATGGATGTAGGGATGAGACTTTGAGGCAAAAATGGGGAAAAAAAAGGTAACCAAGGGAGGTTATAAATTAGGGATGGTGGTGGAGGTGCCCTCCCATGTTCTCTCTGACACCTGAATAATTGCCATTATTCTGGGAGTGTGGAACAGTGGAAAAGAGAAATCTATGGGGCAAGCCCTACAAGGCAGTGATAGAGAGTGTGTAGAGGGGACAGCCTAAAATTGATACCTTGGAAGCCCTGATTGCTGAGGAATCCAGAGAAAAGAGAGAAACCAGATAACTATAGGGGTCATGGATCAGAGAATGGGAGTCTAGAGTAGTGAGAAAGAGAGGATGAATAATGATAAAAGTGAGAGAAATTCTTTTTTGGAAATGTACAAAAAAAATGAAATTTAAAAAAAAACCCTAGTGAATGGGATTAGCTGAAGGGGAGGAGAGGAAGGGGGTATCGACTAACTGGGAGGAAAAAAATGAGGAAGGAATATAACCATAAAAACACAAGAGAGAAAAAAGAACTAATAAAATCCCAATGGGAAAGAGGTAACAAATGAGAAAAGGGGGCTAAGGGAAAGGGGAAAGGGGGAGAGAAGCAGTAGGAACAGGATCACCTTTGAAAAAAAAAGATTACAGTAGCTGAAGGAATATAATATCTTTCATTATAACAAAAGACCAAAAAAAAAAAACCCATACCAATGTTTCTATCCTTGTATAAATTGCTTACCTGGTTCTACTCTCTTTACTCTGTCAATTTATACTGCTTAGGAGTCTCTTTGGTCATTTTTTTTAACCCCACAATAACATTCTATTTCATTCATACGGCATCATTTTTAAAGGATTCCTCAACTGTCTAAGAGGCAATTTGACAACCTCATTATAGATTACTTCCCATCTTGCACTTTACAGTCCAGTCAAATTGCCCTTTTCTCCATTCCATGTACTCAGCACTCCATTTGCAATCTTCCTGCCTTGGCAGCAGGCATCATCTGTGCATGCAGTCCTCATTCTTCCTCATTTCTACTTCATAAAATCCTTTATTTTCTTCAAAATTCAGCGTAAGCATCATTTTGTTTTGGAAGCCTTTCCTGATTCCCCCCCAATTGTCAGTGCCCCCCCCAATGTGCACATACACACACAGTATGCATATATGATATACACATATGCAGACATGTATGTATTTAATATATATTATATACACATACAATATTGTTTCTGCTAATAGAATAGAAGTTCCTTGAGAGCAACGCATATTTCATTTTTTATTTTTATACACAGTGTCATTCACCAAGTAGGTGCTTAATAAATGCATGTTGACTGATTATTCTTTTTATAATTTCTTTTGCTCTCTATAATTTTTTATTTTTATTGGTATCTTTTGTTTCTATATTATCTTTATTTCTGAATATATTCTTTCCCTATCCCTTATATAGGGAGTCATTCCTTCTCAACAAGATGAAAAAAAAGAAGAGAAAAAAAGACATTTTAGCACAACCAAACAGCATATCAGTGCTGTCTGTCTATACATCAGTGGTTCTTAAAGAGTGTGTGTGGGGATGGGAGAACACACTAATGTGCCACTAATTTTGGCTAAGTTTGTCACAAACTGTATGGAATTTACATTTGCAATCAGATGCATATGCTTGATTCCTCCCAGCAAAGAATAATGCTACTGTCTTGTATCATGAGGAATAAAATTTTGAGAAACACTGGTTTGTGTTTTTAAATAAACCAAAGTTTAATCAGAAATATATTGGCAGTGCTGATGGAGCTGCAATCTGGTTCAACCATTCAGGAAAAGTCTATAATTGCACAAGAAATGTTACTAAACTTTTCGTCTCTTTTGACCTAGCAATCCTACCATTATAACCCCACAGTGGTTACTAACAGCAAGAAAAGATCCACATGTGTGAGAATACCCACAGAAGTAACACTATTTATCATATGAAAAAATGGAAAGAATTTTTCCAGTGACAAGGGAATGGCTAAATAAATTGTGGCATGTGAATGTAATGGAATATTATTGCAAAGTAAAGAGAAGCAAATATGAACAATTCAAAGAAACATGGGTAGACTTCCCTGAAGTGACACCAAGTGAAGAAAGAGCCAAAGAAACATTGTATACACTGGCTATAACTATTTAAATAAAGACACATTAGATGGCAGCAAAACTCTAGTCAAATAAAATGTATAATAATGGTACCAAATTATTAAAGTAGGAGCATCCTTCCTGTTCACAAACAGTAAACTGCTATGGTGACTTATACCATCTGCTGCAATAATGCTACAGAACATTTTACTTAGCAGTTGTTTGGGAATGTAATTCAGTTATCCCTATTCTCTCACTAATCTTTAATTGCTTCCTGTTAACTGGCATTTTCCAGTTGGCATATGCCAACAAATATGCCCATATCTCCCTTATTCTCAAAACCCCTCACTTGATCTGTCCATCTCTGATAGCTATTGTCCTATATAGCTCTCTTCCCTTTCATGGCTAAACTTCTTGAGATAGTCATCTACATTCAGTGCCTCCACTTCCTTTTCTCTAACTCTTCCAAACTCTCTACACTTTGACTTCCCATCTCATCATTCAACCAAAAAGGCTCTCTTCCAAGTTACCAATAACCTATTAATTGTCAAATCCAATGGTCTTTGTCTTTCTTGACTGTTCTGCAGCCTTTGACACTGTCGATCACTCCTCTTTGATGCTCTCTTCTTTCCACATTTTCTCAATACTGCTCTCTCCTGGTTCTCCTCCTACCTGTAGGCCTGCTCATTCTTCTTTTCTTTTGCTGAATCTTCATTCAGTTGATGCCTGAAAATAATGGATGTCCCCCAAGGCTTTTTCCTGGGTTCTTTTTTCTTTTTGCTCTATGCTATTTTGCTTGGTGATCCATCAGTTCCCATGGATTTAATTATCATATCTGTACAGAGGATTCTCAGATTTATCTTGCCCTAATCTCTTCTGAACAATATTTTAGTATCTCCAACTGCCTATTTGCTGTCTCAAACTGGATGTCCCATAGACATCCTACTTACTGATCTTCATATCTAGTTCCCTGACTTCCTTCAAGTTATCAGCTAAAAATCTCACCTTCAGCAAGTTTTTCCTGATCCACCATTATATATGTGCTGTCTTCTCTATTAGAATGTGAATTCCCTGAAGGCAGGAACTGTTTTTGCCTTTCCATCCCTAGTGTTTAGTACAGTGTCTAGCACACAGTATATGTTTAATAAATGCTTGTTGACTGAATGCTTTGGGATTCGGAAAGATCACTGTCTTGAGGACCTAGCTGCAAATCCTGACTGTAATGCTTACTGCCTATTTGACCTTGGGCACATCATTTAACCACCATGGGTCTTGGTTTCCTCATCAGTAAAATGAAAGTTGAATGAATGAATGAGCCATCACTCTTCTGGGTGCAGGGGTGGATAGCTGGATGGGATGTAAAGCATGGTCTGGTTTGGTGGCCTGGGATCAATTAACTATAGTGAGAACTGGACTAGATGACCTTTAGGGTTTCTTCCAGCTCTAAATCTATGGTTCCACTTTGAGGTTTCTTTCTATGTTTGCTGACATAAAAGGTATCTTTTCTTTTTTTAAAGGAAATACTTGGGTAGCATATAGTCTATCCTAAGAACTTTGATAAACTACCATTCCAGAAGACTAATGATGAATAATGCTGTTCACATCTGACAAAGAGGTGATGGATTCAATGTACAGCAGGAGAGGCACATATCTGACATGGCTAAATGGGGAATTTATTTTGGTTGACTATGTATCTTTGTTACAAAAATTTTTTTTTCTTTTTCAATGGGAAGGGGAAGAGAAAAAATAAATACTAATTGAAAAATATTTAATTTAAAAAAAAGATGAAGTTCAGTCATTAAAGTAACAATGGCCTCAGGCCAACATTCCGTACACTAATTAAAACAAACTAACAAAAAACCAAAACCAAACCTGTTTTGAAACAAAGTCATGCTTTTTGTAAAGTGGAAGCCCAATAATAGTCTTAGGTGCAATTCGAATGCAAAAAAAAAAACCCAAACAAACAAAAAACCCCAAACCTTGATTACTCCCCTTCCCTCTCACCACTTGCTTCTCAACCTGGGCACTTTCTTTAGGGAAATGAGAAACCCCATAGGGGAGTTACGGAACTACAAACTTTTTGGGAAGTTGGGAAACTCCATTTCCACATAACGGCCCTTTGGGAAGGAGCTGGCTCAGACGGGACACAGAAGACTACCAACTACTGGGTGTTTCTCTTCTTTTCCCTCCCACCGATCTTCACGTGATTTCCAGGAAAAGGAGAGAGCCTGTTTGGTGCCAACGGCCCCGCCTGGGCTTCGAGGTAAGTCCCACCTCCTCAGTGTGATCGCTTCTAGTCTAGAGGGACTATTTGTGTGGTCGGAGCTGTTGCTGCTGCTGTTGTCGCCCTGCCTTTGCCGGTCCATTCTCGAGGTACAGGAGCTCAGATTAGGAGGTATGAGGCAGGCAGGAGGTATGAGGCAGGCAGGTAATGGGGGAGTCTTTTGGGAACCACCTAGAAGCCTGAGGTTTCTGAGCTGCCAGAAGTGGAGGGGAAATCCTTTGCTCACTGCAAGGACTGCCGAGCGAAGGTACAGCTTTGGCACAATTAACTGCCGGGTAGTGGCGCTCTGGCAGGTGTGAGATGTCCAGCCCCTTGCAGCTGGGCACTAAATGACAGTAGGGATACGGAGAACAAATCTGCCTGAGAGTCACTTTATTAAATGCTCTCTTTGCTGAACTGCCCTTTGTCAAAGCACCCCCTCCCCCATCATGGCTCTGAGACTGCTTAAACATCCTGTTTTGTTTCACTTCTGAAAGTGAAACCAAAAAAAATCCCCTCCATAATTCTTCTGTCTCTCAAAATTTGTTATCTTGGTAGAGAATTACATAAATCTTTTTATTGGTGAAGTCCTAGTAGAAACCTAGAACAAGTGGTCATTTCTTCTTAACAGGCTGAACATTTGCTGGCCTGTTAAAATCACAAGAACTAGTTTCAAAGGCAGCTTGTGACACATACTGGTGTGTGACCCTGGCCAAGTCACTTAACCTTTCAAGCCCCAAGGAAACTTTCTAAGGTCAAAATTCTTAACCTTTTAAAAATGCCATATGACCCCCTTTCACAGTTTGGTGAAGTGCATGGGCCTCTTCTTAGAAAAAGATTTTTGAATGCATAAAACAAAATATACAGGATTGCAAAGGAAATGAAATAGTGAAATGTAGTCATCAAAATATTTTTTAAAAAGTTCATGTATCCCAGATTAAGAATTCCCTATCTAAGACCATAAACTTCAAAGAAGATGCCAATCTATATGAGTAAAGAAATTCCTCAATGGAAACTTTCTAGATCAATGAAATGAAATTACAGTTTCCATCAAAAAAAGTGGAAGGGGAGGATGCTAATAACAGATACTATGGGGCCTTAATTTCACTGACTGGATTGGGGCAATTCCATTAAGTGGGATGGGGGGGCTCCTGATCAATAACTCAGCCATGATATATCTGTACAACTCATTGGACCTCTTAAAATATATTTTTTAAAATTGCATTTCTTAAAGATGGGAACAGCCAAAGTAGGCCCTGTTTAATTCTTGGATCTTTTTATTTTATTACATTTACAATAACTATTTATTGCACAGGTATTTGAAAAGAAAAGTTTATAAAAATAAACTGGCCTTTCTCCAATACATTTTTTAATCAAAATGCCTTTTTAATTGTTCAGTTAGCATTAGGGTCAATTTGAATCTCAGTAATTGGTGATACAGTTGTGTAGTTATTATTGAAGGATAAAATAGGATTTGGAGATTGGAAGGGACCTTAGAAATTATTTTTATAGATAGGAAACTGAGATCCACAGAGGAAAAGTGACATGCAAAATCATAAGGTAGTAGGAACACAGGGTTTTGTGAGGAAGTACTTTAATTTTGTAAATTAAAAAATTTTAATTTAACAAACATCAAATAGGATGGCCATTTGCATTATATATAGTAGAAAAGAAAAAGAAGATTGTATGTGAAATGCTTTATTATATCCAGCTTGCTTTTACCTTTTAAGTATATAGTAGTTCAATTTGTAGCTTTCAAAGCTGTCATATAAATTCTCCATACTTCTCTCTGGTCTTCCTTCAATTCCTTTCTTGCCATTAAAAAATACCTTAATAATCTTGCTTCCCCCCCATCCTGTCCTTTTCCCCCATCTTCACTTCCACCACTGAAAAGAAAAAAGAAAAAAACATCAAAGCCCTTATAACAAATAAATAAAGCCAGGTAAAACAAGTTCCCGCATTGGTTGTGTCCAAAAAAATGCAGGCCTTATTAGCATCTTGAATCTGTCACCTTTCTGTCAAGAGGTAAGTAGCAAGTTTCATCTTTAGTTTTCTGGAATTATTGTTGGCCCATTGTATCACTCAGTTCTCAAGTCTTTCAAAGTTGTTTTCTTTATAATGTTGTTACTGTATACATTGTTCTCTTTGCTCTTCTCAGTTCATAGAAGTCTTCCTAGGTTTCTCTAAAACCAACCCTTTAATCATTTCTTATGATACAATATTGTTCCATTATAGTCATATGCCCGAAGAAGAATAATCTTCCCAAAGTGCCATTTTCATCATGTCAGTCCCAAGTTCAAAAACCTGTAATGGATTTCTCTTGCCTACGGAAAAACCTCTACTCTTGACCTTAGAGGCTCTATGACCTGCCTATTCATCCTTATTTCCTGTCATTCTAAGAAGGACACCCTTCTAGCCTGATTGACTGACTTACGCTTTGCACAATCTTGTGTCTCTAGCTTCTCTCATGTATTTCATAAGTACTACTTATTGTAGGACCATAAATTTAGAGTTGGTAGGAGTATTAGAAGCCATCTTGTCCAAAACTGTCATTTTATATACAGATGAGGAAACTGGGGGTTTTGAGAGGTTGCCCAAGGTTACAAAAGTAGTGTGTGACAGAGCCAGGATTGGTACTGAGGCCCTCTGAGTACAAATTGATCAGCCTCTAATTATTTATTAAGTACCTGCTTACTTAATACCAGGCCTTGTTAAGTACTGGAGTTCAAGTACAAAGAATGAAACAATCCTGTTTATAATGAATGAGACGAGTCCATATATAAAAATATACGGCATAAATATAAGGTGAATAAGTATAAGTATAGGTTAAAGTAGTGGGAGAAGGATCATGAAAGACAGCACATATAATGTGGTATTTGAGCTGCCACTTGGAAAAGAGGGACTCTATGAGGTGAGGTATGGAGGGAATGCATCCCAGGTGTGAGGGACAGTCCGGTACTGTGAACTCTGTCTTGGAAGCTCTTAAGTAGAAAATTATTGCTATAATCATGGAATTTAGAGCTAGACTGGACTTTAGCAATAACCTGGTCTAGTGGCTCTTAACCTTTTTTGTGTCATGGATCCTTTTGGCAATCTGATGAAGCCTATGGAACCCTTGTCAGAAGACTGGTTTTTAATCCATGAATAAAATACATAGCATTACCAAGAAAATAGTGAAATACAGTTATCAAAATATTTAAAAAACAATTTCATTGACCTCAGGTTAACTCCTAATCTATTCATTCTATTGTTGTTTAGTAGTTTTTAGTCACGTCCAACTCTTTGTGGCCCCATTGAGTTTTCTTGGCAAAGAGACTGGAGGGGTTTGCCATTTCCTTGTCTAACTCATTTTACAAATTAGGAAACTGAGGCAAACAGGGTTAAGTGACTTACCCAGGGTCATACAGCTAGTAAGTGTCTGAGGCCAGCTTTGAACTCAGAAAGAGGAGTCTAATTGACTCCAGGGGCTGGTGTTCTATCCACTAAGCCACCTAGCTGCCCCTTCATTCTATAAATGAGGAAACTGAAGTCCAGAGAGATTGTGACTCTGCTGCCCAAGTAATCTTCCTAATTTACCATTTACCATGCAACCTTCTCCTAAAGAATTTTCAGTGGCTCCCTACTACCTTTAGGATGAAATACAAACCTTCTTGTGGCATCATTGTCATTATAAAACAGCTAACATTTATATAGTGATTTAAAATTTTCAAAGTACTTTACATATATTACCTAGGTTGAGTCTGACAACACCCCAGTGAAGTAGATGTTATTATCTTCATTTTATAAATGAAAAAAGGGGTAGCTAGGTGGCTGAGTAGATAGAGCACTGGCCCTGGAGTCAGGAGGACCTGAGTTCAAATCCAGCCTTAGACCAGGTACTTGGCACTAGCTGTGTGACCCTGGTCGAGTTAATTAACCCCAATTGCCTAAAAAAAAAAGGGGGGGGGAAAGGGTTTAAAGGGGAAGCTAGGTGGTGCAGTGGACAGAGCTCCAGCCTTGGAGTCAGGAGGACCTGAGTTTAAATCCAGCCTCAGCCACTTGACACTGCTGTGTGACCCTGGGCAATCCACTTAACCCCACTGCCTGAAAAAACAGAAGAAATAAACAAATAAATGAAAAAAAATGAGTCTGAGAGTAGTTAGTATCTGAATCAAGAATCAAACTCAAGTCTTCGTGACTCCAAGTCTATCATTCTACCAACTTAGAATATAAAGTCCTTCACACTATGGCTCCAACCTATCTTTCCAGACATACTTAACATTATTCCTTTTTACATATTTTTTTATTCTGGCCAAACTGGCCTGCAGACTGTTCCCAGAACTCAGCATTCCATCTCCTATCTTTCCAGGCTTCTTCAAATTGTCCCTAATGCCTTCAAAATTCACCTCAGGCATCACTTCCTTCCTTTGGCTTCCTGATTCTCCTACTTGTTATTGGTCTTTCCTTCCCTTACATTATTTTGTATTTATTTGTCTAATTAACTGTTGTTACCTCCCCTCAGTAGAATGTCAAGTCCTCGAAAACAAGGACTAAAAACTAGTCTTCGTTTTGTCTGAATTCTCAGCACTTATCACAATATCTTACATACAGTAGGAGTTTACTAAATGCTTCTTGAAAGGATGAATAGATGAAATTTTAATTTCCTCCTTGACCAATTAGTACATGAATCTTTCTCCTTATGATCTTCCTGTCTTTGTGCAGCCTCCAAAATAATAAATGTGTGCTGAATCAAATTATCTAACCTTTACTCTGCCCAATCTAGACATTAAACAGTCATGTGACATTGGGTAAATGACTTTATTTCTCTGGTCCTCAGTTTCTTCATCTGCAAAATAGGAAGGAATGGACTAGATGATCTTTAAGGTTACTTCCAACTCTAAATATATGTTGCTGGGATCATTCCCTCCCTCTTCTAACTTTGTGCTCTAAACTATACTCATTCTTAATCTGCATTTGAGATATATCTTAATATTCATGTCTTGATTTAATGCCTTTATTCT